TCCAAAAAAAACCAGGCCCAAAAAAAGAAAGTTTACCCCCCCCCCCCCCCCCCCCCCTCCCACCTCGCCTTTGTGCCTAATCGTACCCCTCTCTTTGATCCTGTCTGTGACGAACGATTGCCTGATGGGGGTGGGTTGCTGTGTTTGCAGGGCAACGGCAACGGGGTGATCCCTGCCCACCGTTCCAAGGCCGTGGAGTTCGCGTTTTGCCCCAGTCTCGCGGGCACGTTCGCGGAGTCGCTGTCGGTGACCAACGTCCTGGCCGAGAGCAACACGCAGGTACAGTAGTAGACGACGCGAACACGGGAATTGAAATTTTGGATATTTGATATTCTTTCTCAACAAGCTGCGGGTATGGATCTTCTAGAGGCATGGCAAATTGCCGAAATGTAACCCACAGGATGATAAGATCCACATCGATCGCTGATCTGATGTGCAACACACATATCATGACAGCAAGGTAAGGTACTCGCACGCATGTACTGCACTCCACAATAATTTAAATTGCTGCTGGATGGACATGCCAGTAGGCGTACGTGGTCGTTGTGAGCGGCAGCAGGTGCAGCGGGCACCGCTGCTGCAGCTGCCGCGCGGCAGTGCCTCGTGTCGTGTGTCTCCATATTCTTGCGGGATGGCCAGCCTCCTGAGTCTTACCTCCGTAGTTTGAGAGCTTATTTCGTACCTCCATACTTTGTCGGCTGCTCGGACCCATCGTAGGTGGTGGTCCCTGTTGCATAAGGCCAAGGCCCGGTCGCCCCGTGTAAGGCCGTTGAAATAGAGTGACACAGAAAGAGGGAATACTCACGTTCTTGTCTCGATCTCAAAATAGTGCCGGGTGCCCGGTATACGGCCGGCCAGATGCCTTGGTGCTATGGGGTCTTCAACAGGGACGACTTCTGCTGTACGTCCGTCGAAAATGTTCTATGTAGTGGGAAACCCTGGTTCCGAGTGCGCGTTAATCGAGGGCGTTTCATGAAAACCGCTTCCGTGGAAATAATTTGTCGGTTTCTGGCCTGGCATGTGGAACGGGGGATGGAACGACGTCAGTCGTGGTCCTTGAACGTTGCATGTTGCGTTGCTCTCTATCGATCAAGCACAGGAGCACCGCCACAACACAGGCACGCCCACGCCCTCAAAAACACAACAGCAACGACGAGGACGACAAAGACGACGACAAAACAAAGACAACCAACCAACCACAACATTACCCACAACATCGACAACAACAACAACAACAACAACAAACTGCTACTAAATGCAACACACATCCATAACTTGAACAACGACAACAACAACGACAGGTGATCACGATCAAGGCCAAGGTGTACAAGCCGGAGACGTTCGCCCTCGTCGACCCGCCGGAGGTGATGCGGCTCGAGCCTTGCCTCGTCGGGGAGCCGCTGTCGGCACGACCCCCCGGAGAAGCGAGAGTGTTGCTTCGAAACACTACCGCTCGAAGAAGGCTCTTCGTTATTGAGGGTGCGTGGGTGTGCATTTGGATCTCCCCCCCCCCCCCTTTTTTTTTTTCGCCATCCCCGCCGTCTAGTGTTTCCGCCGCAAACGGCGTCGTCCCCTGTCCTGCGGCAGTAAAAACAGTTACACATTTGTGTCAGTTCGGGTGTTCTTTCACCGGCTATTTCCAGGAAAACGTTCGACTTGTAATGCCTGTCACGTGGCACCATACTAACGTAGCGTGAGGTTGGAGCCGGGTTGGTCTCTCTCGAGAAGGGAGCTATCGCCTTGGAGCTATCGGGTGTGCTATAATGGTTGGTGTGTGTTGTCTTGCTTGAGTTAAAGCGCGCCAGGTTGTGCTTGGTTGGTTGGTGGTACCCACCGACCCCTTCCCTAGCGGGGGACTGGCGCTCCTATGCCCCCCCCCCGGCCCACCTCTGCTGGTGCGTGTGCTTGTCTCTTTGCAGGGCATACTGTTTGCGCGTGCCCTGATACTCTGCCGCGACGTTAATTGTTTTTTGCGTTCTCTCGTCGTCTTGTTCCTCGCCCATTTTGTAGAATACCCGGTCTCCCCCCCCCCCCCCCCCTTTGTTGGAGTTTGCCCACAAAAAGCAACGG